ATCTGTTTACAACATAGTTTACTGAATATTTTAAGACCACTGGTGAGACCTACAGCTCAGACAAAAGATTTCTTTCAAAATACTACTGCTCCACCTGGTCATTCAAGAGCTCTGATGGAGATGTATCATAAGATTCATGTTGTTTTGATACCTGCTAACATAAAATCTATTCTTCAACCCATTCATCAAGGAATGATTTCAATTTCAAGACTTATTTAAGAAATATATTTTGTAAGGCTATTAGCTGTCATAGTGATTCCTTAATCAATCTGGGTGAAGTAAATTAAAAATCTTCTCTAAAATTTCACAATTTTAGGTACCATTAAGAACATTCACAGTTCATGGGAAGAGGTCAAAATATCAGCGTTTAAAAGAATTTAGAAGAAGTTGATTCCACCCTGCATAGATGACTTTGAGATGTTTAAGACTTCAGTGGAGGAAGTCACTGCAAATGTGGTGGAAATAGCAAGAAAACCAGAATTTGAAGTGGAGCCTGAAGAAGTGAATAGCTAAAATCTTGTGATAAAACTTTAAGGGAAAAGGAGTTCCTTCTTACAGATGAACACAGTAATTTCATGAGATGGACTCTTCTCTTGTTGAAGATGCTATGAAGACTGTTAAAATGACAGCAAAAGCTACAGAATATTACATAAACTTAGTTGGTAAAACAGTGGCAGAGTTTGATGGGACTGACTCCAACTTCAAAAGAAGTTCTACTGTGGGTAAAATGCTATCAAATAGCATTGCATGTTACAGAGAAATCATTCATAAAAGAAAGTGTCAACTGATTAGGCACACTTCACCACCATCTTATTTGAAGAAACTGACACAGTCACCCTAATCTTCCCCAACCACCACCCTTATCAATCATCAGCCATCAACATCAAGGCAAGACCCACCACTAGCAAAAAGATCACATCTTGCTGAAGGCTCACATGATGGTTAACAGTATTTTTTTACCAATAAAGTAGCTTTGACTTAAGATGTGAACATTGTTTTAGACATACTGCACACTTATTAGACTACAGTCTATAACTTTTATATGCAACTGGGAACCAAAAAATTCATGTGACATTCACACTATTGTGATATTCACTTTATTGTGGTGGTCTGGAATTGAACACACAAGATTTCTGAGGCACACCTTTGGAAGTTTTTTTTTTAGTAAGATTATATGAATTAGTAGGTTTTCTTTCATATATCTCTGGTATACATCTTAATTTTGTGCACAGGATAGTACACACAGTCAGTGGTGTTACAATAATTACAGTTATTGTAATTAAAAGCCCTTGGAAGATGCCAATGATATACAGGTTATATGAATTGCAGGAAAAAGTAAAGCTAAATACTCTTATACTCAATTAACTTGGCAGTTATTTGAAAGACTAATTTGTGTAGGACTTTCTAGGATTTGGAGAGATAATAGCTGAATGAACAAGCACATAACAAATGTGTTATGTGATGATCCTTAAATGCTTATGCAAAAAATGGAAATGTAGACCTTGATCCATTTCTAATAAGTCTTTGTAAAATCTTTGATTCAAAACATAATTTATTCTATGAAGAACTTAGGAAAGAACAGAAATAGAGTCACAGATGTAGAAAGCAAGCTTACAGTTACCAAGGGAGGAAGAGGGGAGGCCAGGAGGGACAAACTGGGAGGTTGGGACATTGACAGATACACACCACTATATAGATAAACTAGATGACTAGTGAGAACCTACTGTATAACACACGGAACTCCACTCAGGTTTCTGTAACGACCTATATGGTAACAGAATCTGAAAAGAAGTGGACATATGTGTGTGTATATATACATATATATATATATGACTGATTTACTTTGCTGTCCAGCAAAAACTGACACAATACTAAATATACTCCAATAAAAATCAATTAAAACAAAACAAAAAAACAAATACAAACTTAGGAGAAATAGGGACTACACTGAATACTAAAGGGAGCAAATAGATTTAGCTGCCTCACATAACCATTGACCACATATATGGAGAATGTTTGTGCAGATTTTTTAAGTTATGTGAGTTGATCTGACTCTTAGCTAGGGACACATTATTATTTTAATGTAATCAAACGAAGGACAAAATTTCCTTATGATGAGATTTTCTGCTGTCCTGAATTTCTTGGGAAATAAATGTGATTGTGTCATCTTTCTAATTAAAAATGTCAAGGAATGCCCTGGTAGTCCAGTGGTTGTAACCCTGCACTTCCACTGTCAGGGAGGGTGGCCGGCTTTGATCCCACAAACTGTGTGGTGTGGCAAAAAAAAAAAAAAAAAATTCAAGAAGCCTTATCTAGTAATCCAAACAACACTGCCAGTACAGACAGTTCAGTCAGGTATTTTAGGACTGAGAGTAGATTCCAGATCCAAATGATACAATTATTTAGTCAGCATATCTATACCAAACAGATTAATTGTAATTTTCTTCTTTGTAAATACAATCATGGATAAAAGGCATATAGAAAAATTAAGCTTTTAAATATAGATGAAGAAAAAGAATTGCTGAGAAGTCCATTTTTGCCCAACCACCTGAGTAAATAAATTTTCAGGAAGACAAAAGCATAATTATGATAACATCATGGATTCACAAATTGTCCTTTTTATGAAGAACTCAAAGATAATTAATGGTGCAGACAACATTAAAGAAATAAAAATCTGCTCACATGAGGTGTTGTAATTGGAAATTTTGTTAAAATTGGAGGTTCTAACCTTCTGGACAACAATGCTAAAGTTTTGCTTTTGTGCAACCCAAATAATTACTGTGTCTTAAAACACCTGATCACTTTATTCCTTTAGAAATCATGTGAGAGACTTATTATGCCTATTATAAGAGGAAGGAGGAGAAGACAAAAACAGGTGAAGAATATGCCCAACTATCAAAAAGGACTGAGAAGGTAGTATTTTCCTAGCATAAGGTACCAATGCTCAAATAAAGCTGGTATTTTGGAGTCAACCGAGAAATCAGTCAACAAGTGTAGCTTGAATACCTTCTTTCTTTCCTAGAGGTGTAAAAGGATGCCATGTGGGTTCCTCCAGCTTTGGAAGAACTCCAGAGAAATATCTCACCAAAGTTTCATGGCAGATAGGGGGCCAAATGCATCCTGGATAATACACTTGTGGTGTGTTAAGAAGGTGTTAAAGAGCCAAAGAAAAGTCATTTTCAGATTTCTCTGAGCCAAATTTCTTTGGGAAAAAAAAAAAAAAACTCACAAAAGATAAAAAGTCAAACCTGACAGATTCCAGATGAGGCTTAAAATTTTAGTATACCCAACCTGTACCCACACCGTTTCACATCTTAATAGAGATAAAGCTGTCCTATGTTAGCCTCTCCTTACCTATAGAAAGCAACACATCTTCCTAGAGAATGAATAGGGGGCTGGAAATGCATCTGAAGAAAAAAAAAAGTGAAGGGACTCAACTAAGGAGTAAAGCTACTTGGCATAGATTGGGCTTCTGACACCACGATGGTGTACTGGAAATCATGAGGCGGTCTTGCAGTATTTTGAGTATGTGCAAGATGAAAGATTCTTAGAAAATTCCCCACTGAGGAATACAGAGGGTACATATCAAAGGTTTACTGGCACTGACCACAGACACACTCTGACACTGCAGCCCTCACACAGCTGTTTAAAATGAGAGAGGAGAAACATGGAAGAGAGAAACAGGAGACACGCTTTTGGAAAGCACAAAAGCCTCCAAACAGTTCCAATCTTAGAGTGTTATGATGTTAAAATATGAGGCACATTATCAGGAGATGAAAGTTCAAAGAGGCCTCAGCTTCATGTTGGATAAACAGGAACATATGCCCAGGCTCAGAAATATTTCAAATGTGTTGTGAAACTTCGCTCAGTTAGGAGAGAAATGTTAGAGTTCAACTGTGAAAAATTCAATTGCATATTTGAAAAAAGCAGGTGCTGGGAAAGACCACAAACTTTCCGAGTGTGTCAGCACCATACACCACAATAGCAAACAGAAGTGAAAATGCTATTAAGGCTTAGAAAGGTTTTCGGAATGATACATCAAATGAGTCCAAGTAGTAGTTACATGTCATTGTGGAAATGTATTCATCTGAGGGGAAAATAAAAATCAAAAAGAAGGAAGTTGCAACACTATAGATATCTCACAGTCAGCCTTTGTGGGTATTGTATAGAATCGAGGGAAATTTGTGCTGATGTCTCTATGTAATAGAAGTGAGAGATCTCTGTTGAGGGAGTTTAATTGAAAGGAAAAAACAATTTTACCCACAAAATCTAAGCCTAAAATTAGCTCACCAGAGAAGCCCTATTCCAAAGGAATTTTATTTGCTGATTTCTGAGTTGTGATGGCAGAGGAGAGGATGTACAGCTAATCAAAACTTTTTTCTTGGGACTTCCCTGGTGGTCCAGCAGCTAAGACTCTGCACTTCCAGGGAAGGGGGTCTGGGTTCAATTCCTGGTTAGGGAACTAGATCCCATGTAGTACAAACAGTTCACATGCCCCAACTCAACTAAGAGTTCACATGCACACTGCAACTCCAAGATCTTGTGCTGTCGCAACTAAGACCCAGTACAGCCAAATAAATAAATAAATGATTTTTAAAAGCACACAAAAAAACATAAATCTCTTCTTAATCTCATTATGGAAGAGGTTTGTTAATGTAGTTACTCCATTCCTCCATAGAAGAAGTAGCTTCTGTCTCTTTAGTTCCCACAAAACTGAGAACAGTATTCCTTGAATAGTGAAGAAATGCCAGATCATCTCAGCAACAACCCAGTACCAGCATGGAAAACAGAGGAAGAGTCCAGCCATTTCCGGAACCCAAGGGGAGGTCGATATTGGGGTGCAGAGCTGGCTTTGCTTCCAAGGTAAGCACTGTCACCTCTTCAAGTTCCAGTGCTTTCCTCCTCTGTCCCAGTCACACAAGGTCATCCTGCCAAGCCTTCCCCTGCCCCACCACCAAACCCAACATACTAAACTCTTGGCTTTTACTTATAAATCTTACGATTTGGAAATTGTCTTGAACAGTGTCCACAGAGAAATGGATGAGAATTATCACAACTGGAGCACTACTGATCAGAACTACTCCTCTTGCTCTGTGTCTTGCCTTGAAGTCTTGCAGTGCTTTCTGCAAATCTGGAAAAATAATCTGTGTTACTATGCCACTGGATCAGGGGGTTAAACTCCCAAACCTACACTGATATTGGTGGTGTCAAAGAAGTTAGAAGAGAAAGTAGTCTGACAGAGTAGCAGTATTAAGGGAAGCAGGTTAGAGACAATCACTCTTTTGAAATGTGCATTGTTCAATCAACAATACCATTTCCTTATTGCAGTGACCTTCTGCAATAAGGAGAAAAGTGGGAAACTCTGTTTTCCCACTAAATACTCTGGAGGAAAAAATTTAAATACAGTAAAAATGCAAACATACACACACACACCATCATCATGCATGTCCATCTGCTAGAACTTATAACAAGTTATAAATGCTTATAACATGTCATTTCGTTTCAGATTTTTAAAATATAGAGCATTTCAGATAAACCTGAAATAGTATTTGTTGCTCTGTTCCACTCCTCCCTCCCTCCTTCTTCAGATGCTATCATATTTGATTTGCTTCTAGGTCATTTTATGCATACATCTATGTATAAATAATACATGATATTGCCTTGCATGTTCTTTTAATTATTCATATATTCACTCATCTTGTACATATTCTTCAACTTGCTTTTTGTCACTCAACAAAGTGTTATATGAACTATGTATAAGCAGTTTGTTCACTTTAATTGTTAGGTAGCATTTCATTATATAATTGACCATACCATAATTTTTCCCATTCCCCTATTAGATATTTCCCATTTTCTACTATAACACACAATACTGCATGAATATCCTTATGGATATCTTATACATGTGCAAGGACTCTCCATGGATACTTACATTTCCAAGTAGAATTGCTGGGTTGTAGGATTCAAGAACTTTCATCTTTACTACATCATGCCAATTGGTTCTCTAGAGGGTTATGTGAATTTACAGTCCCACCAGAAATGTTTGATAGTCCCTCTTTCTCTACATGCTCACCAACACTCTGTATTTACATTTTTAGACCATTTGCCAATCTGATGGGTATAAACTAAAATCTCCCAATTTTAATTTAAATTTCCTTAATGATTGCCAAGCTGGAAATTTTTTCATAATCATTGGCCATTTAGGTTTCCTATTTAGGGAGTTGTCTTTTCATGTATTTTATCCAGTTTTCTTTTGAGAGGTTTACCCTTTTTTCATATTCATTTGGAGATCTTCATATATTCTGAATGCTAACATATCTCATATATGTTTATCTCCTCTCTATATGGTGTATTTTGGGGGGCTCCAAAATGACTGCAGATGGTTACTGCAGCCATGAAATTAAAAGACACTTGTTCCTTGGAAGAAAAGTTATGACCAGCCTAGACAGCATATTAAAAAACAGAGACATTACTTTGCCAACAAAGGTCCATCTAGTCAAAGCTGTGGTTTTCCCAGTAGTTATGTATGGATGTGAGAATTGGACTATAAAGAAAGCTGAGTGCCAAAGAACTGATGCTTTTGAACTGTGGTGTTGGAGAAGACTCTTGAGAGTCCCTTGGACTGCAAGAAGACCCAACCAGTTCATCCTAAAGGGAATCAGTCCTGAATATTCATTGGAAGGACTGATGCTGAAGCTGAAGCTCCAATACTTTGGCCACCTGATGGGAAGAACCCACTCACTGGAAAAGACCCTGATGCTGGGAAAGATTGAAGGTGGGAGGAGAAGGGGACGACAGAGGATGAGATGGTTGGATGGCATCACCGACTCGATGGACATGAGTTTGAGTAGACTCCGGGAGTTGGTGATGGACAGGGAGGCCTGGCGTGCTGCAGTCCATGGGGTCGCAAAAAGTCAGACGCAGCTGAGCGACTGAACTGAACTGATATGGTGTATGTTTTATAACTTTGTTGTGACTAGTCAGAAAGACATTTTTAATACTGACATATCAAGTTTTTTCTTAATGAATTATATTTTTCTGTTTCACCTAAAATATACTATATTGTAATTGCATATATAAGCATGTATGTGTAAAATATACAAAGAAAAATGTTTACATGTATACACACACACAACTATCACCCACAAATTCGCCTGCAGAAGTTTAACTCACCAAACTTATTGGATGGATCGTTTTCACTTAAAAATCTGTGCTATTCGAGTGGATCTGCTCTATTGCTCAGCAACTGTTTTTCACTTCAAACAGGGTGCCAAGCATATGAGGATGGTAGGACAGCATTCAGCAGCAGAGAGGGCTAAGAGCAACTCACAGCTCTGCCACTTACTATATTTGACTCTGACCTCACCATGCCTCAGTTTCCCTAACTGAAACACGGTTTCACTATGAAAACTATCACATAGATGCCTCTGTCTTGATGTTCTCCTGCACGAAAAAAGGTGAAAGTAAAGGCACTCTTCTAAGTCCTTTAATTAACTCATTGGATTCTTACAACAACATAACAAAGGGGGCACTATTATTATCTCCATTTTACACATGAGGAAACTGAGGAACAAGAAGGTAACTAACTTGATCAAGGCCCATATTTAACACACAGCAGAGGCAGGATTTAAACTTCCAGAACCCACGCTCTACAGCACTTCACTGTACTGCCTCCTAATAATTTTTCCTTAAGTAAATGAAGAAATCAATGTTAAACAGCCTACTGCTTCATCTATAGATATGCTCTAAAAATGGTCTTTATTTTCTATAAAGGCTATTCTAAATTTTTCACTTAAATCTAGACTTGAATATCTGCTTACAGGTGACCTTACATTACTGTGCCCAAATATCTTCTGTAAAACACTAAAGCCATGGAATCCATGAATTGTCTCTTATGACTGTTGGGAGGGAACTGCCTGGCAGTACGGTGGTTAAGACTCCATGCTTCCACTGCAGGGGGCATGGGTTTGATGTCTGGTCGGGGAACTAGGATGCCGCAAGTCACGCAGTGTGGCCAAAAACAAATAAATAAAAGTTCTTTAAAAATTGTCATATAGGGTTTTTGCTTTCTCCTACTCCTCCTTCAAAACACCTTTAAGGAACCTCACCTGCCTTAACTTTCACTTTCAAAGTTAGGACCTTCCAACAGGTGCACTTTCTCATTTTTTTCTCCTGATCTACAAATAAAGCACCTAGCATAGAGCCTGAAATAGAGTACATGTTGAGTAAATGACATTTTATTATTCAAATTCTCTGGTGTCAATGTGCAATAGGAAAATCACTTCCTCTTCATAGGCTGACTTGCATTTCTGCAGCAGAATCAGTGGGAGGTGGGTATAGGAACAGTGGGATGTTAAAGAAAGAAAGTTCATCTTCTTTCCAACAGAGAAAGAATTTCAGCTTCTTTCCCAAGGTAACATCTGTATTTATGTCAATGATCTTACCCACTTTTGCTTCTTCTAGTATCTTAATTTCTCTTTCAAGTTTTCAAACTTTTGTCCTCTTTCATTCTCTGTAACTATTTTATTGACTCTGAGACATTATCACTTGTAAAGAATAAAAAATGTTGCCATTAAACTAGGAGAGAACACTTGATCACTCACCTATATCACTCTTGAGCCTACACAGAAAGGAAAACATAAGCAAATAAGTTGAATAAAATATTTCTAAAGCTTTGCAATCACAGGTTGATTCCTCCCATACTCAGGATTCTTGATGGTATTTTTCATACAATACTATACTCTGTTCTATCAAAAGTGTGATATACCAGTTCTTACAAATGCTCCACTGTTGTCTCCAAGACATTCTTCCATATACAGGGCACCTGGGTTTGACCATTGGTCAGGGAACTAGATCCCATATGCTGCAACTAAGAGCATGCACATGGCAACTAAAGATGCTGCATGCAACAGTGAAGTTCTAAAATCCTGTGTGCCATGAATAAACCAAATAAACAATAAATAACATAGACTGCATGCAACAGTGAAGTTCTAAAATCCTGTGTGCCATGAATAAACCAAATAAACAATAAATAACATAGACCGGGTGCAACCAAATAAATAAACACACAAAAATACATTGAGGCAATTAAAAACCCCTTTAAAATTTCATAGTCTCTCCCTTCCCTTACTTTGAAAATTGAGCAAGCAGAGCATTCCAACTTTTGCAGCCTCAAGATGATGGAGCTTCCATCAGCCAGGGTGGTACAGAGCCGTCCACTGACTCATTTGGGATATATAACATGAGCAAGAAATAAACTTTCCTAGTACTGAGACTTGGGGATTTTTGTTACTGCAGCATAAATTGGCGAATCCTAATTAATATGCATTCTAAAAGATTCAGGACATATTAGATGAAATAAGTATCAAGGACATAATATACTAAAAGGAAATATAGTTTTTTTTTGTGTATGGAATTACAGTATTTTATGTTTTCTTCACTATAATTTTATTTCTTCTAACTTTTAAAAATAAGCATATTAGAATTTCTAATGCATAAAATTAAATTTTTCCACTTTGTAAAAACCTTTAGAACAAAACAAATCATATGCATTTAAAAACATTCATGAATGAATACACAGAAAAGACAAAACCATACCTAAATTTCACCAGCTCTTTCACAAGGTAATAGCTTTTTTTTTTTACCAATGGAATATAGAGCTGTTGTACAGACAGACAAGGTTTCTCAGTCTATTTGGGGGCAGGAGAGGGGCAAGGGCAGGGTAAGTGGGTGCTTATATGTTTTAACACTGAGGCAAGTGAAAGAAGATTCTTGGTGGCAGTAGGAATGCTGTGATACCATATAGTGTGGGATAGAACATTCAGAATAAATGTTCTCTCCTAAGTGAAGTAAGTCAGGAAGAGAAAGACAAATATCACATGATAAAATTTATATGTGGAATCTAAAATACAACATGAATTAATGTATCTATGAAATAGAAATAGACAACAAAAGTTCACCTAGTCAAAGCTATGGTTTTTCCAGTAGTCATGTATGGATGTGAGAGTTCAACTATAAAGAAAGCTGAGTGTCAAAGAACTGATGCTTTTGAACTGTGGTGTTGGAGAAGACTCTTGAGAGTCCCTTGGACTGCAAGACGATCCAACCAGTCCATCCTAAAGGGAATCAGTC